AATTTCATTAATATTTTGTAGTTTTCTGTTTATAAATCTTCCCTCCTTGGTTAAGTTTGCTTGTTTTTCTTTTTATTTTAAAGTACCATAGGGCATATGCACTTACCAGAGAGAGAAAGAGAAAACATTCCCTAAGGGGATATGATCACACAGCAGTCTCTTTTCTTCCATTTCTCCTTTCTATCAGGACTTTAGGCACACATGCACATGTGCCTAGTGTATTTTTCAAGCTGGTAGGGTCAGGATTCGAACGGCAAGTCAGCCTTATGAGATCCGGCTCCCGTAACCATTAAACTATATGGCCAGCCTTCTGAGTGTTTTATTTCTTTTAACTCTTACACATAGGTCTGTAATCTATTTAGGGTTAATTTTGTTTATGGTATGAGGAAGAGATCCACTGGCTTTATTTGCATGCTGATACCATTTGGTCTCAGCACCATTTGTTCAAAGAATTTTTTCTCCTCTGCATTGTCTTTGTGCCCTGTGAAAAAATTGTCTTAGATGTACATAAGTTATTTCTGGAATCTTAAGTTTTATTCCTTGGTCCATTTGTTTATGTGTATGTCAGTGTCATAATGTCCTTTTTTTTTTTTAAGTTGCTCACCAGGAAGAGCAAGTGAGTACCCCTTCGTGGAGCGTGGTCACAACTGCAATACCTATCCTCCATTTCTCCATCCTATTGGGATTTTTGGCATACATACATATGTGCCTAGTGTGTTTTTCAAGCTTCTGGAACTGGAATGGTTGCCTACGATTTGGGATTTGGCTCCCTACACATAGTGCTTAACCACTGCTATGGGCCAGCTTTTATAGTATATTGATTACCATAGCTTTAAAATAAGTTTTAAAACCAGAAAGTGTGATTTCTCTAACTTTGTTGTTGTTTATTATATTCTACATCCTTTGGAGTTCCATATGAATGAATAAATGAACAAATTTATTATATTTCAGAGAGTACATTGCTGGAGAAAGACAAAGGTGGGGGTGGAAGAGTGAGGAGACCCCTCTCCCAACCCCAGTTTCTGTGGGGGATAGTCATGCCACAGTCCCTTCTCTTCCATTTTTTCCTCCTTTGGGATTTTGTGCATGTACGCACAGACACCTGGCATATTTTTCAAGCCGCTGGGCCCAAGCTTGAACTGCACAGTTGGCCATGTGGGATCCAGCTGCCTCAACTGTGCTGCCTACTGGCTCTGCTTAGGAATTTTAGGATCAGTTTGTCTATTTCTGGAAAATAGCTGTTGAGATACTAGTAATGAGTGGCTTTGACTGTGGATCAGTTTCACAAAGTATTTTTATTTTAATATTAAAATTTTTATACTATGAATATCACATGTATATTTGCTTAGGTCTTTGTGAATTTCAGTGATGTTTTATAGTTTTCAGTGTGTAAGTCTTGTACTTGTTCTGTTAAAGTTATTTTGAAGTATTTTATTCTTATAGATGCTATTATAAGTGGCATTCTTTTGTAGTTGCAAAAGGCTGTGTGCACCTTCCAGAGAGAGAGAAAGAGGGACCTAGAGAAAGACAGGATGGACAGGGACAGAGCACTCCCTAATGAGTTGTAGTCATGCTGCAGTCTCCCCTTCTCTGTTTCTCCATCTTGTCTGGATTTGATACATGCACACAGGCATATCTAGTGTGTTTTTCAAGCTGCTGGGACCAGGATTTGAACTGCAGTCAGTCATGTGGGATCTGACTCCCTTAACCACTAGGCCATGGTGCCAGCCCAGTGGTCTTTTCTTAATTTCACTGCTAATGTATAGAGACTTACTTGATTTTTGTGCTGTTCTTGGTACTCAAACCAAGATGGACTTAATAGTTCTAGTAGTTCTTTTAGTGGGTTCTTTAGGGCTTTCAGTATAAGATTATGTCATCTGCAGATACAGTTTTACATCTTACTTCCCAATATTGATATCTTTTCTTTCCTAATTTAACTTGCTAGAAACTCTACTATTAGGTTGAATAGAAGTAGGCAGAACAGATATCCTTGCCTTGTTCCTGTTTTAGGGAAAAGATTCAACATTTCACTAAAAGTATGACATGAGCTCTGGATTTTTTATAGATGGCCTTAATCGGGTTGAGGAAGTTCCCTTCTTTTCCTAGGTTTTTTTTTTTTTTTTTTTTTTTGGTATGTGCGTGCAAGGTGTCAGATACTTTTTTTTTTTGCATCTGCCTGAGATGATCTGACAAAAATGAAGGCTTTTCTCTTTTGTTCTGTTGATATGGTGTGTAATATTAATTGATTTTTCAGGTATTAAACCAACTAACATTCCAGGACCAGCAGATGGCTACATTGCTGGACTCCCATGTAGTCGATCGTGGTTCAAGTCCCAGACCTGGTGGCTTAAACTCACACTGGGCATGTGTGCTTGCATGCCCAAGATCCTGAGAGGAGAATGGAGGAGAAGGGATTGCGGCATGGTCATCCCCCCCCCAGGGGGTGATTTCTTGCCTTCTATGTCTCTGTCTCTCTCACTTTCTATCTCTCTGTCTCGCGCTGTCTTGCTGGCGAGTGCATGCACTCTATACCAAAAACCTCTCCATAAAAACAAAAACAACAAAAAACACCTAACATTCCTTAAATAAATCTTGCTTGATGTGGTGCATAATCCTTTTGTGGATTTTATTTGCTAATGCTTTGTTGAAGATTTTTGTGTCTATATTCATAAGAGATATTTGTCATTTTCTTGACTGTCTTCCTCTTTAACTTTTTTCTTATTTTGCTATTAGACATGTGTGCTTTGGAGAGTGTGCATGTATGTGTGCACCTCTGTACAAGTTAGAATACACCCCCTGGTGGATGGCCACACTCTAGTCCCTTCTCAGTCTTTTGGTTACACACACAGATGCATGCAGCATGTTTCTCAGGTTCCTGGATGCAGGACCCAGCCACACAGCTTGACCTAGTGGGATCCAGCTGCCTTAACCACCATGACACCAGCTGGCCCTCTTGACTCTTTTTTGGTCTTTTTTTTGCTAATAGGGTACATATGTTCACTGAAGAGAGAGAGGGAAAATGAGAAAACATCCCTAGGGGCGATGGCCACGTCACAGTCCTTTTCTTCATCGTCCTCTCAGGACTTTGGGCATACACACACATGCTGGTGTGTTTTTTAAGCCACCGGATCCAGGACTCAACCAGGTCTGAGACTCAAGCACACAGCTGGCCATGTATGATCCAGCTGCCTTAACTTCCATGTCATCTGCTGGCCTAGGCCCCCTGACTTTCAGTAGCATTGATATTTTAACATGTTTTTTGTTCACATAGAATTAACACGTATATGTATATTTTTGTCAGAGGGCTTGTGTGTCTTTCTCTCTGTGTCCCTTTCACTCATGGAAGTAAATAAGTAAACTTGAAAAAGAACAAAAAAACATAAAACAAATATCCAAAATCCAAAACCTTTGGGTGCTGGTATAACTCCACAAGTGGAAAATTCCCTACCTGACCTCATGTGAAGGTTAAGGTCAAAATGCTATGATACAAAATAATGTATAAAATTACACTCAGGGTATTTGTATAAAACTGTATGAAGAATAAATGAATTTTGTATTTTGACTTGAGTCCCATCCCCAAGATATCTTGTACGTACGCATATGTTCCAAAATCTGAAAATATCTGAAATCTAAAGTACTTGCGATCTCAAGCATATTGGATAAGAGATACACAACTTATATTTCTGTTTTTTATTTGTAGCTAGTTTAGCCACAAAGCTACTGACTGGCTAAGGACTAGAAAATGCTAATTATCAGAAAGGCTATGCTGTGTGTAATCCCTTGATAAAGTTATATAAAGACGACCTCAAATTATGTAGTTGGTTATTTTTCAGAGATTTGAAATAACTTTTGTTGTTTGTTTTTACATTTATGGCTTTTATTGATTTTAAGATGTTTATTGAGCCCTAGAAATGTGTTAAGGCTATTATACAAAATGCTTTATTTATTGCTTCTGAAAAAAATAAGTATTTAGCCTATTCAGTGTTTCTCATGGTTTAGCTTCCAGTCTTCATTACTTTGAATTTAAATATGAAGGGACTTCAGAAAGTTCATGGAAATTATAGAAAAAGTGTATGTGGATTTCAAAATATTTTTGCACCAAAATAAATTTGTACTTAATTCTTTTTTCCTGTGGACTTCATAAAGTCATCATGTACTCAGAAAAATAGTCCAATTACATAAACAAATGATCCATGTCCAATATCAGTGCAACATCAATATTAAGTGTTAATTTTCTGTATTAGTCTCTTCTAAAAGGTTGGTTACTGCATGACATTTAGTAAACAATCTCTGGATCATTTTACCATTATTAAATACTTTTTGCCTTGAAAATTTTAATATTTATACTTTGAAAAACTGCAGTCCTAATGTATGTAGACTTTTGAGCTAAGAGAAATGTTACTGTGGGATTTTATAAGAGTATTGACATACGTGTTTCTGTTTTTGTTAGATTGTGAGTGTACTTGCCAGAGACAGACACAGAGAAAGAGAATAAAACACTCTCACATGGGGAATGGTCACGCTGCAATCCCTTCTCTGGTTCTCTCTCCTTAGGGGATTTTGGGCAGTGCATATACGTGCCTGGCACATGCTCCCAGCACACAGGCCCAGCATGTTTCTCAAGCCACAGGCTCTAGGACTTGAACCATGTGGTTGGCCATCTGGGATCCACCAGGCCATGGAGCAAGCCCAACATATGATTTTAATGAAACACATGTGCTTTTCTTCCTATTTTAAGATATTTGAAGATGATTCAAAGAATATCCTCCTGATTTTAAAGAAAATCAAGTTTGACAAAGTTCATCTTAAGTCTGTCATTTCTTATCTTTGTGGTATCTTTCAGCACCATTAGGTTATTACAGTCAAACTAAGTGTTAGTTGTTACTAGTTTTATTTCACCCGATGATATGTGTCCTGGAAAGAATTTGGTTGACCTTAAGACTATGCAGTCCTGATTCTTTGAGGTGGGGGAATAACCTGTATTTTTGTATTTTTTGTAGGATAGAGGGAAAAAGCAGCAGCTCAGAAATTCAGCAGAGAGATCTGGCGGGATGGGCATTTGCTCAACATATTTTATAGAGGTAATTCAACATTCTTTTCCTTAATATTTAGTTTTTACCCATGGTAGATGCCCATGAGCCTGTACATGAACATACTCATAACTGTTGGGTAGTACTATGCATTTAATGAACAATCTCTTTTTTATTCACTTACATATATATATGATATGAGTATTCCATATAAATAGCATGGTTTCACCATGTAGATATGTGTATCTGTACATTGAAAATAACTAATTTTATTAGTTTTATAGGGTAGAGTCTATTATCTTCTCTTATTTAACTAGATTACTTGCATATTTCTTTCTTAGGACCCAGTTGCCTTATGTTAAGGAAGACAGATGATCTCCTTTCTTGTTGGCCTACATTGGGGCATATATAAAACTCATGCTTTTTATCTTTCAAACAACATGAAAGAAAATTAAATATTAAACAGTTTTCAAGGTATTTACATATCTATCAGTGGTACATATTCTGTCAGTTTTTAATGATCATAAGAATTACAAAGTTTTTCTGTGAATTTTTAAAATAGTTTGAAAATTCTTTTAAAACTTGAGGATCAAAAATATTAGCATTTTGGACCAGCAGTTACCGTACTGGCTATGTCACTGGACTCCCACGTAGTTGACCGCGGTTCGCGTCCCGGACCCGGTGGCTTAAAACTCACGCCGGGCTTGTGTGTGCGTGCCCAAGATCCCGAGAGGAGAATGGAGGAGAAGGGATTGTGGCGTGGCCATCCCCCCTGGGGGGTGATTTCTTGCTTTCTGTCTCTCTGGCTTTCTGGCAAGCGCACGCGCCCTATAGCAAAAACCTCTCCAAAAAAAGAAAGAAAGAAAAAAAAAAGGTGGAGCTGAGAGCAAAAGGAAAAAAAAATTAGCATTTTTAGTGGCTGTATTTTAGTTCCCTTCTTTTTCCATATCTTCTGTTAATATTCACGTTTACCTTTTTTTTTTACTCCTCTTTCCAGGTTTTATTTATTTATTTTTAATAATTATTTATTTAATTTTATTTCTTCTTCAATTTGACCAGAGAGAGAGAGAGACAGAGAAAGAGAGCGGGAGAGTTAGAAAGCAAGCCACCAGGTCCAGGACTCAGAGTTGGCTCTGTGAGAGTCCAGCACCCCAACCACCATGACACCTACTGGTTTGCACAGGTTTATTATAAGAGGAGTACACACGTAGGCAATAGAGAATGTTACTGTGTAGAAAAGCATGGCTGCCTGCTTTCCCATTCACTGTCAATTGTATATTCTTCTAGATGTTTTCTGTATATATACACAAATATTTGTCCATATACCTGTATTTATATATTCTTTATATAAACAAGATCACACCATACATGTTTTTCAGCTACATGTATTTTTTTTTTTTTCTTTTTACAAAGTCCATATTGGAGCTAGCAGGTGACATAGTGGTTAAAGCTCTGGACTCCCACCTGGTTGATCATGGTTCAAGTCCTGGATCTGGTGGCTTATTTTCTCACTTTCCCTCTTTCTCTCTAGCTCTCTGATGAGTGCTTGTGCCCTGTAGCAAATTAAGATAATTTAAAAAAAAAAAGTTTATATTGGGGCCAGCAGGTGTTACAGCGGTTAAGGCACTGGACTACCATGTGGCATACCATGGTTTGAATCCTGAACCTGGCAGCTTGAAACTCACCTACGTGCACCCAGGTGCATGTGTGTATGTGCCCAAAATCCCAAGAAGAGAATGGAGAAGGGATTGTGGTATGGCCACCCCCCCTGGGAGGTGATTTCTTATTTCTCCTCTCACTGTCTCTCTGGTGAGTGCACACACCTTATGGCAAAAACCTTCAAAAAGAGAAAAAGTAGAAGAGTTCATATCTTTGTATATCATTCTTTCTTTTTTCACTTTGTATACTATTCTGGTGTTTGAATGTACCATAATTACTTTGAACTAGTCACCTGTTCATGGGTATGTAGCTTGTTCGTTTTTTTCCTATTATAAATGATAATGTGAATATTCTTGGGAACATCTTTGCACATCTTTTAAACTATATCTGCAGTATAATGTCCTAAGAAAAAATTGTTGGGTCAAAGAGTGTGTATTAACAGTTTTGTGGATGAATTGTGTAATTCTAAATAAATGCTGAATATGAATAGACTGTGAGAGTGAGGAATTCTTTGACAACACTGGCAAGTGTCAAGCTATTGAATATTATCCAGTGTTTTGGTGATTTGCTTTGCTTTTTAAAAAATGTTTAAATTTTTAAAATTTACTTTAAAAAGTTTTATTTAGCTTGCTTTGCTTTTAAGTGACTGAACAGTTTTTCCACTATTATTGGGTGTGTGTTTATGTGTATGTATATATAAATTTGCCAGAGGGTCTGGGACTTAACAGGGCAGCTGGCCATATGGGATCCATTTGCCTTAACAACCACTGGCTGGCCTGCCCCTGGTCTTTTTTTCTTTCTCTCTCTCTTTTTTTTTACTTTATTATCATATGTATGTTTTTGTCTCCCCACCATTTCCATGTCTGACCACCACTACTACTATGACATATCATAACATTCTATGTATGCTTCAAACCAAGCAAAGAGTGGATGGAGTTCCATCTTTAAAAACTACACAGGCATTTTGGACAGCACATTCTTGACAATGGAACCTAGACAACACTTATCAAATACGGTAAGGAAAGTTCTCACTCTGCATTATATTGGGTCATTGGAAAAGTAATGACATCGTTTTCCATACAAAAATGCATCATGACTTTTCTGATGACCCAATAGAAAGGACAGCAGGTATTAGCTGTTACAGACATGAAATAAGATGAAAAAATTTAGCAAACTGGTTAAACTATTTTTAAAACAGACTTCTTCCACTGCCAGAGATCTTGAATAGACTCCTGGTTAATCATCTGGAAGCAGTTCATGGAATTGATGAACTTGACTTCCACTTTGGGAAGAGAACCACCTTTCTTATACTTTCTATACATTTTTTACTTTAATGCCTTTTATAGAACTAGGTCCTTTTGGTGATTTAGGAGATTTTTCCTGCTTTTTTTTTCTTTTTTAAATGACTCTTGTCCTTTCGATCTTGGCGTTGATGGTTTTGAGTCTTTTTCATTCTGGGTTTTTTTTTTTTTTTTTTTGCATTTTTATCAGGAGTATCTTATTGATTTCTTCACTAGAGCTTTTCCATAGGGCGGGCGCCACCACGCCCTCTTCACTAGAGCTTTTCCTCCTGTTTCTTCATCTTCAAAATCATCACTACCACCACCACCACCACCATCATCATCATATTCATCATCATCAGCAGCATCAAGTTTTACTTTTTTCTTTGGAATCTTGCTGGTACCTCCAGAGAAAGATCACTTTCCATATATACTTAAGAGTTTCACGTCCTCTTTTTCTTTCTCTTCTGCCACTTCATCTTCCTCTACAACTACTAAGTACTGTCCACTAATTTGTATAGGCCTTGAACCACACTTCAACCTTAAGATCACAGGTGGTATTATTTCAAAACCCCCAAGGGAAACCATTGGCTGTACAGACATTTTCAGTGTTGCCATTGTTACTTAAATTGGACTGCCTTCATAAGTCGTTACCTCTGTTTCAATAATGTGCAGTTTATCCTTTGTACCTGTCTTTAAACTCTCTGTTCTTAAAGAAAACTGGTGTTCGTTTTCATCATTATCCACCTTAAAGTAATAATCTTTGCCGGCATTAAGTTCACAACTGAAAAGATAGTTCTGGGCCCTCAGGGCTCATATCTGTATCCTTGAATTTCCATGGGGTAGTGGCATGCAGTTAAGTAAGAGATAAGGCTGATGGAGATAATGACCAAGACTCCTTATAGCAACTGTGCAGGATGCAATCACTCGAGGCAACCCTTGTTTTTAAGGCAAATTATTTTTGCTCATATTTTACTTATCTTTTGCTGTCTTTTTTATTTTTTTTTTTGCTCTTGCCTTATAAAATTTTAATTCTTTATGGTTGGGGGATGTTTTCTCTTTTTTCAGAGAGAGGTTGTTTGTTTGTTTTTTTTCCTATAGAGAGAGATTTTTGCTATAGGTCGTGTGCCCTTGCTGGAGGGACAAAGAGAAGCAGAGAGGTAGAAAGTGAGAAATAACCCCCCAAGGGGGATGGCCATGCCACAAAAAAGCTATGTAAGTTTCATATTAACTTTTTATGGTTTAAATTATTTAAAAACCTCAAAAATAATACTGAGTATTTTTGGCATAAGCAATAAATGTACAGATCTAGCTTTACATTTTTTAGATGACTAACCAGTTGTCCTCACTCTGATTATTGAATAATTTGTTTCTTTTCTGCATATTTGAAATGTGCCACATTTATCATTTACTAAATTTCCTTGTACTTAGAGGGCCTGTTTTTATGATCTGGTTCAGTTTATCTGCCTGCCTATTCATTTTTTTCGTTTAAGTTTATGTCTGAGTGAGAGAGTGACAGAGACAGGTACCCCCTTTGGGGTCTTCACAATTCGATCTGCCACCAGTCTCAGCAGATACATGCCCAGCCTACTCAGAGAAGTCCCACGGTGCGAACCTGTGGCCTTTCCTAGGTGCTGGGATTAATAAGCACATCCCGTTACACTCAGCCTTTATGTTGCACCAAGAATCAAATTCGAACCTCCCATGTGATCCCAGTTTGTGGAACACACTGTCATAGTAGCACACACTGCTATGGCTAGGTTAATTATCCTTTTTTTAGACAAATAATAGGCATTGGTACTAAAGATATATGTTCATGCTGACAGCTAGAAAGTAAAATGCCTGGGAGCAGTCTGCAGTATTTCATAATTGTGAAACTCTTATTTTTTCTCTAGGGTGTGTGTACTCTCTGGAGAGACAGAGAGACAGAAAGTGGGAAATCTCTCCCCAGTGGAATGGCCATGCCACAATCCCTCCTCCTCCATTCTCCTCTTGAGATCTTGGGGACACACAAACATGTGCCCAATGTGAGCTTTAAGCCACCAGGTCTAGGACTCAAACCGTGGTTGACTACTTGGGAGTCCAGTGACGTAGCCATTATGCCGTCTGCTCATCCCTCAAGTATAGTTCTAAAGAAAAACACTGATTAAAAACCAAGCAACAAAGAATCTCATAAATGAACAAAGATGATCATAACATAGCCAATGAAAGAAGAATGTGTAATTTCCATGTAGAGTAAGGTGGGATACAGTAGTTTATAATCTGATAAAACCCATGAGTATCAATCATTGGTCCAGTTAGATATAGGTTAACTTGTACATAACAATATTTGATTAGGAAGAGATAGGAAAAGAATACTTTTACTTACTCTCTGGGAGTTCTTATAAAATCATAGTACTGTACTGTGCATAAAGAAGTAAGTCCTTGAAAAGCAAAGATAAAACAAATCGGAAAGAGATGTTTACAAGTGAAGACATGGTAAAGCCAGTGATATGGTTTACAAAGTTCTTGATTTTAGCCTTTTTTTTTTTAAATTTATTCCAAAGAAAGATTCAACTGTAACATTTTTGGACGTTTATTATCTAGTTTTGTACAATGATTACTGATCATAATAAATATATAAATTGAGACCTGTGGAGACAACTGTCTGTCAAATAATTGGTGAATTTGTATTGAAATCTGCTTGTGTGTACAATTGTTGAACCTACATTTACTCCCAATGTTCAATATTATTAACATGTGTGGACTTACCCATTTTTTTCTAGTTGCTCTGTGTTTGTCTCTTTCTAGCTTTCCTGGTATAATAGTCCCTTAATAGTCCCCCCAAAGAGCCAGTTTCATTTTGGTGAATTCTTTTAGCATTTATTTATCTGGGAATGATTTTATTTCTTCTTCCCATTTGTAAGATTATCTTAACTAGGTATAGTACTTCTGGCTGAAATTGCTTTTCTTTCAGAGTTTTTAATGAGTCTTCCCATTCTATCTGTACCTGCATTGTTTCAAAAGAGAGATCCAATGTTAGTCTAATGGGGTAACCTCTGTAAGTAACTTGGCATTTCTCTCTTGCTGTTTTTAGAGTTTGTCTTTGTCTTTGATTTTTACCAATTTGACTATGATATGACTTGGAGAAGATCTTATTTGGTGTCCTTTGTTATCTCCTGGTTTTAGATGTCCATATACCTCTAAATTTGGAAAGTTTTCAGCTATTACATTTTA